TGACCATGGGAGAGAAATTAAAGCCAACAAAACATACCTAAGGACATCGGTTAGCATTATGTTTCAACCAAAAAGTACGGCGTTGTTTTAACGTTACTACGGAAAAGGAAAACCGAATTACCAAAATAATAATTGGGATAGATTCATATGAATCGGAGGCTAAAACATTGAGTGCAGCATTAGTCCTATAGTTTTTTTTTATATAGCATAAGCCGGTAAACGACCAAACGGATCACCTGATGGTAAGCAATCGGCGCCGCCCATGGACACCCGAAACACCAAGGCGTTAGAAGTGCGTTACCGGCCTTTTGGGAATTGGGAATTTGAAGATTGTGGAGGATTCGGAGATTCGGGAGACTAGGGATGGGGGTAATTGGGCCTCCGGTAACCTCACTCACACAAGGAAACACAACGCAAGCGTTGTTTCACGTCGGTTTTCTGTGAGGCCGTGGGTATCACTCCCCACATTCACTCACGTGGTATTTATAACTGACTTCAAAAAAGAAGGAGTATGTCAATGTGATTCGTATATATGAATGCATGTGTTCCGCAAATATCTCACGATTGGTAATACTTTTAGGTTTTGGATTAAAACTGCCCTAGTACGGTAGAATGAGAAGTTGTATCTTTGGTGTAGGTATTTGTCCATAGTAGGTAAAAGCGTTTCTATTCTGTTCCTATCTATGGTGGAACTTGGGTATATAATACTCAGTAACTAAGCAGAAAGTTTAGAATCACATGTTCCCCAAACTTTCTTCTTAAAGTTTCTAGGGCAACATTCATATAACATATTGAGCCCTTACACGGTGTGGGGGAGGCATGGTATCTTTCTGGGCCTTTGCAAGTACAGCCTATTATTAAATGAATAATTATTATTATTAGCAGTTAAGCGTCGGTTGTGAATATGTGCTCTGTCGCTACATAAAGCTGATGAAGAGTTTATTTAAACACGCTAATCTCAGGAACTTTTTATGTCGGATAGTCCATTTATCAAAGCTGTAAAATACCACGCTTCGGTTAATAGGAGCTGAGCAGCGGTGAAATTGCGCGGGCGGAACTAGTATTATGTGGTTTTTTAATCAATGGATGTACATATGTATGTTTTCGATTACAGACTTACTCTTAAGTTAATAGGTATGTACTTATTCAAAATAGTGGATATGTGAATGGCATCTGACGATGGTAAGTCAAACGTGGGAATATTACGGGTGCAGCAATGAGTAGGTAGTTTCAGACATCGCAGATGCTCCGTCATTAGTACAGGTAACGTTGTAGACAATGGTTTGAAACAAAAGAAGAATTGTTTTAACCATTTCAAGCATTAAGTAAGCTTAAAGCATACAATACTCAAGTATTGTGTGCCTGTACATGGAAGTAGGAGAGCATCCAAACGCAGGATTAGCAACCGCCCGAGCTTCTTTGTTAACTTCAAAATTAACTGCCATTTTTCGATATTCAGTATAAGATTCATAAAACCATTGACTAAAACAATGACTTATATAACTACACCTCACCTCTTAAAAACCGACACTTTTCTTTTTTTGAAGTGTCGGTATTAGATAATATACACTAACTATAGCTTCTGCCAGCCCACCTGCGCCGTTTAGCCCGCGGTCCCGTAGAATAAATAGTAGCTTAAATGCTTAGCTGGAATAAGAAGCTGTACCGATTGAATACTGCGTTTGGATTCGTCTCCTACTTCCATGGTCAGGCACACAATACACAAAGAAAGGAATGCTTAAAACAATTCTCCGTTTCTTTCAAACCATTGTATGCACCTAGGAAGGAGCATCTGCGATGATGATACTCATAATATTTCCACGTCTAACTTACTACCGTCCAATGTCACTCACATATCCACCATTTTAAACAGGACTTACTAAAGACAAAGGTCATCGGCTCTTGCACACCTAACAAGCAAGGCTCCGGCATGGCTCCAATCCAGCAATTAACATAACATTAAAATATAAACTTTAAATCGTATGTCGTATGACATATTTCATAACGTCAATTTATAAAAGCTGTAAGCAGTAAGCTTTTTCTACCGACTTCATGAAAATAAAGGAGGTTCTCAATTCGACTGTATATTTTTATGTTTGTTACCCGATTTCTTAATAACGCCTGAGCCGATTCCGAAAATTCTTATTTTATTTGAAAGGGTTGGCTTGTCATTTGGTCCCATTTTAATCAGGTCAGGACCTGATGAAGGGAACCCAGGGTAACCGAGGGGAACTTTTAAAATTATAGGGGCCACTCGTACATTTGTTAAATTTTTCATTATGTATTTAATATCACTACAATCTAATATAAGACCGGAGTCGATCTGATGATGGAGCCAGCAGAGCTAATCCAGGGAACTCCTCGAGGATTTACACCTGTGAGCCCGTGTTTGGGTTTAAATGATTTACCATCACTAAGAACAGAATAGAAACGCTTTTACCTATTATGGACAAATACATCAATGATACAATTTCCTATTCTACCATCCATCAACCATCTTAGGGCACAATTCTAGAATTTACTTCCTTTTATTTGAAATTAATCCGAAACCTACTTTTATCGACTTCAAAAAACGGAGGAGGTACTATGTTCGGCTGATTGTTTGTTGTTTTGTTTGAAAGGGTTTACTCGCGAGATGGTCCCATTTCCATGAGGCTGGCGATGACGATGGAACCCTAGGGAAACCGGGGAATTTTCGAAACTTGTAGGGGCGAGTAATCCGCCTATTATATTTTTCAATTAGTATTTTTAAACACTACAATTTGATAAGGGTCTGGAGTCGACCTGATGATGGAGCAGACAAACAGTCAAGGGAACTCCTCAAAGGTTTATATTTACTACTTTGTGTTTAGGCTTGATTAATTTGCATTTATAAGAGCTTTTCACCTAGATGGAGTGGGACTGTCATTAAGGATCTGATGATGAAGAAGTGTAATTGTTAAGGGAACTCCTCAACGGTATACAGTAACTACCTTGTGTTTGGGCTTGATAAATTTGTATTGATGAGAACTTTACACCTAGATTGAGTGAGACTGTCGTTAATTGCCTGATGATAAAGAAGTGTAATTGTTAAGGGAACTCCTCAACGGTATACAGTAACTACCTTGTGTTTGGGATTGAATAATTTGTACTGATTAGAACTTTTCACTTATGCGGATTATGAGTGGCAAAACGGATCTGTGTAGCTTTAAACTAAAAATGATAAAATAATGAAATAAAAACTGCGTTTAAAAAACCAACTTCAAAAAACCATAAACTAATAACAAACAAAAGCAAAAAATAACTATTATTAGTTCTGATAGGTTACTCACCCCACCCACTGATAGGTTAGAAGTCGGTGCCATAAGCTCATATCATAATCACATAACTTAATGGCCACAAATTTATAAATTAGGAATCTATTAAGGTTTTAATGAATAATTTTGTATAGAACTTATAGCACCGATTTCGAACCTATCAGTGGGTGGGTAACCTATCAGAACTAATAATAGTTATTTTTTGCTTTCTAGTTTTTACTTTTTGTTTGTTATTAGTTCTACGTATGTACTATATAAAATTACTAGCAGCCCGTACCGGCTTCGCACGGGGTAGACAATTATTTATTTTTGGAAAATTGGACTTTATGTAGTGACATAACTACAATAGTTGGACATAATATGCTACCACGGAGTTTTTTCTAGACATTATGATGTTCTTCAATATTGTAGTATATTATTTTGTTCTATCGCTAATAGTTTCGGCAGCGCATTCGACGAAAGACATTTTAAGACTCATTTTTCTATACCTTCGGTTACATTGTTAAAATTTTACCAAGGATCCCTAATTTTTTTCAAAATAAAATGTAGCCTATGTCAAATTGGAAGAATGTAGCATTCTATTGGTAAAAGAATTTTTTAAATCGGCTCAGTACTTTTTGAGCCTATTCATTACAAAAATACAAAAATAGGTACAAATCTTTCCTCTTTATAATATTAGTATAGGTAAATGTACATTTAATCACTACATAGTATAAAACAAAGTTACCATCCGCCGTCTGTCTGTCCCTATGTAGGTATGCTTGGATCCTTAAAACTGCGCAACGGATTTTGATGCGGTTTTTTTTAATAGATAGAGTGATTGTTAAGTAAGGTTTTGTATGTACAATACAAGCATATTGCACCCGTGCAAAGCCGGGGTGGGTCGTTAGTTTTATATATGTCGCAGGGATATGATAAAAACCGGGATTAGGCCAAATCGCAAAGGAATTTCACCAAATCACGGAGGATGTCAAAATAATAACACGATTTTATCATTTCCCTAAACAAATGGTGATTTGACAAATGCCATTAAAAACATCTTTGTTTTCCCTTTCCCTTTAAAAAATAGGTCGGCTTATGTTTGAAATTACCAATTAGCGGAACAAGTGTGGTGATTAAATCTGATTTTTATTTCGTGGGAAAAAAACACACTTTTCAATAGTGGGCACTTAAATTAAAATTACGATCGCAGACGGAAAATATAGTAGGTTTAGCTTCCGTCTGTGGTAGCTAGCTATACTATATAATATGTAAGTAGCTTCGATATATTCAATTATATTATGGCTAGGTCTGTGACAGACTTTAAGTACTTATCTACATAATAGAATAATTTAGACGTGAAGGCATCACTCATTAGTCTTAAAAATGTGTTTAGTTATTTAAATGAAACACTATAATGCGCTATAAGCATTACCTTATGATTATTACCTTTAATTTGTATCCATTCCGAAATTAGCGGAAACTTGTATCTACATTAGGGTAGTTGCCAAGGTATAAAAATCTAATTAGTCCGTCATTTAGATAATGAAAATCATCAGATCATTAGATAATAAAATGGAGTTAAGTTTAGGAGTGGGAGGTTGTTACGTCATAACGTGCTGCAAAATGTGGCGTCGACGTGGAAACTACTCAATTGAGTAATCATTTTTTGTGCTGGATGTTTCATTTGTTGAGGAAGGCTATAGACTATAAAACACCACGCTACGATTAATAGGAGCCGAGCAGAGCGGGAGAAACCGCGCGATAGTTATACGAAAAATGGCACAGACAATGGTTATAAAACAACAGCATGGATAAAAATTACGGTTAACATAAAGATTATACTTTTGGAATAAAATCAGGCCTGTCAAAGGTTTTGTTGTATTATTTTATATTAAGCTTAAATAAAATTAAAATACTATCTATAATATTGGCTACATTTTAATTTCTTTTCGTTATCATCGTGGCAAAACCAAAATTTTATGCTATACAATATTGAACCTTATTTTCAGAACAGTACGAGTTGTCTTATTAAATGGTTTATACACCTGTCGCGACCTTTGGATTTACGACGGAGAATTTGAACTATGTCTAGGTATTGCATTTAAAACGTTAAGGCTTATAAACCATTTACAATTAAGGAATATTATTAAATCATTACAAAACTACAAAAAAAAATCATTCGGCTTTTACTCAAAAATTTACTTTTTAAACTGTCAAACACCAAGCGGTCACCGGTGACCGCAACCTATTGTTCTATAATTGTGTCTACAAAACAGGTACTCGACGAGTTAAGAGGCTATGACCGATAGTTTTTTGGTCGTATAAACCACTTATTTGCGAATTTCTACATTTCAAATACATAGATCGATAGAGAAAAAAAATCTAAGGAAAAGGTATGTTACATAACTCCATTTCGCCAAAATTATATACGACCTTTCTACCCAGAGGTATAACGTACTGAAATTGGAATAATTATTTTTGTAATGTAGAATTCAGGTAACTGGTCACTGGAAACAAATAACCCTGTAGACCATAAATAAGAACAAAGTCTATTGTCCTATTCATCTTGAGCTTACATTCGGAAACAATATGTGCACTAAATGATAATTACTTTCTATTCAAAATGGGATTTATTTTCGCCGGGTATTGTAATCTCCCATTGTAATCTCTACTTTTGCAAGTTACTTTATTCCGTTCAGTCAGGCGTAGTTCAGTATCTTCCGTGTCTTCATTGCGAACAGAGCTCCCCAGAGCAAAATCAGAATTATGGAAAGTAGTGCAAGTAATAATCGTGCCGAGAAAGACCGGTTCTTCTCTGCGCTGGCCCTGAACAGAATGCGGGCTCGATCCCCGTTGCCAGCCCCGGCTCCAGCCCCTTCTACAGCTTCAGCTTCACCTGCGGCTCCGACTCCAGCTTCAAGAGAAGAATCAAATAAGATTGAAGAGCAGCATGTAGAAACTCAAGGTAAGTAAGATTTAAAGATATTATCTGATGAAGGTACTATCTGTGCTTATTCGCGGTTATCTGGGGGTACGGCGGTGCCAAGTCGAGCACGAAGCAAACCTTTAATTACCATCCCTTTACCGGAACCATTTCGATGGATTTTAAAGTCCCTATTTAAAATCCTCTGGATAGGATGATGAAATTACGTAGGTAGTGTAATAAGAAAATGTATTAAGTCACATCGTATCACTAACTATTTAATCTGTTAAAGAAGTGCCTTGTATGTGAATAATTACACCATATTTTTTAAACCACAAAATGATAAGAAGGTATTGAAGTCAAACATTTTAGAAATCAAAATTTTTAAATGGATCCTATTGGCCACTTAGGAAATTAGCAATACCGTGTGACCATCCTTTGTAATTTTATAAATAACATGAGTGAAAAATCGAAACCGATCGTTCAATAGTTGAACACACTGCATCTGAACTTAGCTATAAACATAAAAATGTTATAATTTTTCATTAGATCCTACGATGAACATAGCTAGCTCCGCTGGAGAAGATTCTAGCAGGATGGTCGAAAGTCCCAGCAAGATGGTCGAAGGTCCCAGCAGGATGGTCGAAAGTCCCAGCAGGATGGTCCAAGGTCCCAGCAAGGTAAGTGAAGGTTCCCGCAGGATTGTCACTGATCCCAGCAGGAAGGTCATAGATGATCATAAACGAACCAAGAGTGAATGGTGCCAATGCAACTCCTATACCTCTATCATTAACACATATACACGTACAAGTGGTTTCGATACTACAGTACACAACATTCCTATAACAATATTAACTTCTTGATGTCACAATGAACTAACGACTGTCATTTTTGCTATAAAAAAGTAATGCGTACCTATATTTCCAGGACATATCTAAAACCATAAAGAAGATTCGAATAGCTCGGCGACGTAGGACCAGCTCCATAACGACAAATCAAAAGAAAGAATTTTTTTGCAACTTTTTGGAAACTTGTGTAAGAGCGTTGGATATGTTTTGCAATAATAAGGCACGCAAGACGTCGTCGTCGGAGTCGCAAGATGATAGTGTTAATAAAGATGTAATAAACACTGAAGAGAACCGGCCTTGCCCCAGCCACCGCCACAGAGAATTGGATAATGAAGATGCTGAAAGCAGTAACGACAGAAAGAAGCGGAGACGAGATTTTAACACTAACAAAAATAACAATTTCTTCGTCCAAATAGTAGATAGTACACCACAACAAGAATGGGTAATTTTGCACTTTGGTACTTATACTTCGTTTAGTGTGTAGAGTAGTCTTAGGACGTTTAGTAAGTTCGAAACAAACGACTTCGAAATGGAATTCAAATTCAAATCATTTATTTCAATTAGACCAGAATAACCCATTTTTAAACACCTTCAAAATATTTAAAAATAAAACTTGTCACTCGTCGGTCAGTTAAGACATTTGTTCGTTCCAAAGTGTAGGTTCCTATGGATAAGTATTAATAATAATGAAGGCTATTGATATTATTTATAAAATATTGTAATTGGTCCACCGTTACATTCGCACGACGAAACACATCGCAAGCGTAGCTTCACGTCGGTTTTCTGTGAGGCCGTGGTTATCACTCCGGTCGAACCGGCCCGTTCGTGCTGAAGCATGGCTCTCTTACACTTATATGCAATTCGCTGCAATTATTTTCAAAAAAAGGGTTGGTACCTATTAGAAATGAAAGTGAATGATATTAATATTTTCAGGTTGGTATTGGTACCGGACAAACGCAGCTCCATAGAGATAAGTTTGTAAAATTAAAATGGGACTCTTACAATGCTGCCACAAGGAGTCTCCTGGTTGCAGTCTTTGGTAAAGAGTAAGTAAAGCAAATGCCATAAATTATAATATTAAGGTCAGATCTACAGGTCCCTATTGGTATCTACCACTGACTTTTATTGTAAATTATAAGTCATGGTTATCTCAAGACATTTTCTTCACCGTATGTCAATGATATCTATACTCGGAATTTTAATTCGATTCCAGATTTGACAATTTCAGTGTTGCAACGTTATGACAAGTACTAAATAGTGACGTTGCGAAATTATTCGATATGGAAATGCAATATTTCTGGATCGATTCTTCTCGTTTATAATTTTACTCTCGTAAACTAAATATATCAGGAAATTAAATATTTCTGAAATTTAGTTTTGACGATTAATTAACGATCTGAACTATTTTTTTACAATTGTGTGTGAAATAAATAAAAAAATGTAATCATGAAGGAACATGACAAATAAAACAGATAGATGTATTATGGTGCAAGTTATTTCATGAATTGTCGCCGTCATCGCTGTCGCTATCCTGTCACTTTCTGTAACATTTATTTTTAAAACACACACCCTGATTGTTTATCGATTTTTGTGTTCATCACTAGGTACACTATTATATGTGGTATCATTATTTCACAAAATGACAGTAGCTATTGTCAAAACTGGAATCTAATTAAAATTCTGAGTATAGGTACATAATAAACTTCAGATTTTTTTACCTAACTTGGAAAGTCACATTATGCTTATGCTCAAGAAATGCACACCTTAACCTCCGGGCACCATGACATTTTCCGCTACCTACATAATATGCATTTAAATTGTTGTGGGTACTGTTTTTCAGTTTGTCTGCTTAAAACCTTTGATACATTTACTGTATAGTTAACTTAACGTTACAACAGATAAATCAAAGTTCTTATATTTACAGGACTTTGGCGACACATTCGCTAACAGGAAAGAAATCACCGAAATATCCAGATAGGCCGCCTAAAGAATGTCTTGACCCCACGAAGGTCAATGACATTATAATTGAAGTTACGAATAATTTTGCAGTGACAGAAAGATCAATAAAGTAAGTAGCACTATCGATCAATTTAATGTCTGTGGTTAGTAATAACACAATATTGGGTATTATTTGTACCACATACCGAATGCTTGATAGATTCCGCAACTTTTATTACAAATGCCATTATAATGAAGATGTTGCGGAGAATTTTCACGCACCTGAATATAATGCAAATAATAAAGATATAATGCAAATAATATAAATAGTTAGACAGCGTAAATATCCTTGAATTCTATAATTGGTAGTTTCTATCAGAAAAGTCCACTGCCAGTTTTTCCCTGACACTGAACCGCTACTATCTGAAGTAGTTTAGTAATAATAGGGTACGTTTCAAACCAATTTTATTTTTACAGAAATATAATAACAACCAAGTGCGCCGACGAGTGCAAGATGGAAAAAATGCGTATTCAGAAGGCCGAAAACGAGCGAAAATTAAATTAAGTCATCATATTATACTCGGACATGGAGGTGCTTGACGTCGTTTTTAGAACTTAGGTTTTATTTTAATTTAATTTTTTATATTTTTAAATATGTGTTATATGTATAAGTGTGGGAGAGCCGTGCTTCGGTTAAAATGGGCTCGACCGGAGTGGTACCACCGCTTCACAGACAACCGACGTGAAACAACGTGGGTTGTGTTTCGTCTTGTGAGTGAGGTTACCGGAGGCTCAACTACCTCCTAAATCCCAAAAAGCCGATAAAGCACTTGTAACGCCTCTGGTGTTCCAGGTGTATTTGACATTTTTAGGATATGTTGACTTTTTTATTTAATTTTTATTACGCAAGCGTTAGAAATAAAATTCGCTTCTAGTTTCTATAAGATTTTTTTTTTTACTTTTTATTATTTTGACATTTTAAAGACAGGTTGATTTTTTTATTTAATTTTTTATTACACAAGCACTAAGTAGGTTCGTTAAAGATTTTGCATACTTTAAAATATTTTCACATTTTAGAGATAAGTTGATTTTTTGTATCTATTTGTATGTACGCGTTATAAATAGAATTATCTTCTAGTTTCTAAAAGATTTTTTTTTTACTTTTAAATATTTTCAATTTTAAAGATAGGTTAAATTATTTTATTTCGTAAGCATTAAGAATGGAATTCTCTTCTACCTCTAGTTTGTAAAAGATTTTTCATAATATTATATGTTTAGACTTTTTAGAGATAATTCTGTTGATTTTTTTTTAGTTAGAATAGGATTCTCTTCTAGTTTGTAAAAGTTTGTTTATACTTTTAAATATTTTGACATTTTAGAGATATGTATGTTGATTTTTTTTTAATGCAATCATTAGAAATAGGATGATCTTTTGTATCGTTTTTGCGTTTATAAACACAATTTTATCTAGATATCAGTACCAAGACCCGAAACAACAACAGTTCTGCCTGTGACGTCGCTGCACCAACTATGTTGTGGGATGGAAATTGAGATCCAGAATCATTTGAATGTGTCAATACCCCGTAACACTCGACTTTTCTTAGTCTCCAGAAAAAATCTATAAAAATGAAGTTTATACTAATAAGTACAAAATTTATTTAATCTAAACTAAAATAATTTAATTTAAATAACTAAATATTAACTGTGATTAAAATACTTACTTGCAATATAAAATTAAAATTAATATTAAATATGTATAAGAGTAGGTATTGGTATATGTATAAGGTAGGTATAGTTTTAATAATGAAATTGTTTAAGAATATTGTTTATACAATAATTTTATATGAAGTTTTTAAATACTATTAAAAAAAATTTTTATGTCCGTGAACACAATGGTAGCTAACTTAAGTTTGTGTGTCTTTTTGTATAGAATCAATAGATTAGGTTAATTGTAAGTTAAAGTAAGTAGATCGTAAGAAACGGTATACAGAGGCCTCAGTACGAGTTTGTTTTAATGTGTAAAGTAATCGAAACGAGACCGTGTTCGACGCTCTGATTGGCTGGCTCCGAGGAACCAACCAATCAGAGCGCCCAACACGGGCTCGTTTCGATAACTTTAAACGTAAAATAAAATCGTAAAGGCTTCGGGTGGTGGCGTCCAAGGGCGACGCTGATCGCTAACCATCAGGTTCCTATTCCATAAAAAATATGTCAATACATTAATAGCTGTAGAGTAGAAACAAATAATGTGGGTAAAAAAAAAAATTAAAAATTTAAAAATGAAAAAAAAAACTGCATGCTTTAGATAATAATAATAATATTAAGCTTGAATATAACAACAATAAAATTATAAAACTATGACTACCTTTGTTATTTTTACATTGTATTTTCTAATCCTGTAGGTAGGTACCACAGAAATATTTAATAATCTGTGTCGTGTATTTGTTGTTGTAGTTGTAGTGCGTATAGACACGTGCGCTTGTGTGGGTAACTCGCAGCAAGCTCATTCATTGTGTGTATCAGAATGGCGGGTGTAATTTCCAGATTTGCCTAAATTTATTAGTTATTTGGTACTTTCTGTGTACCTTTATATACCTCTCTTGAAAATCTAAGTACCTACACCCGTATAATGATATTTTAAAAATTAGGTACACTCGCCATCCTGATGTCAGAACCGCGGGTGTACTGTTAACCAATATATATAGCCAAGCGTACTGTTTATGTTTTGGCCATTGTCATTTGGTACCTCTTGTATACCTGTAGATAAAAGTATTAAATAAACGAAATTCATTCTGATACACACCATTCATTGGCATGCTGGCCGAAATTGGGCGTTTCCGAGCGTGAACAAACAAAGACAATGTGCGTGTACATTTAGGTACCCACGCAAGTATGGTGCAACCGCACATCACACATCAACAGCCTATAAATGGCCACTGCTGAGCAAAATCTCTTCTCACACGAGAAGGTTTGAGCATCAATCACTTAATGCGGGTTGGCGATTTCAGACTTATAAGTAATATGAAATTATAAGCCCAGGTTTACTCACGATGTTTTCCTTCACCGTTTGTTTATACAAAAGTAGTCTCTAAACATCGGAAATAAGGTCTATAATGTAGGTAGTTACCGCTTGGGGTTTGCTGGATATTGAGGAACAACTTATTGTGAATGGTAATTTTATTTCCCATAGGTTTTGGAGGTATGGTATCTATGCACATAAAGCCATAGGTTTATCAATGTAGGTATGTAGTGAGCAGGTAGGTACATAGTATTTACGACCAGTGGCGTAACTATAATGTTTATTTATTTGTCTATGTATCAATTAATATCCTCACGCCTTTTATGCCCGATGGGGTAGGCAGAAGTGCAGATTATGGCTCTTAATGCCATTGTTCAATGTGACACCCACTGATCACTATTAATGTTTTAAGTCCAATGTAATATGAGGTGAGCCTATTGCCATGTAAGTACTGGGCACAATTTCAGTCTCCGTGAGACTATATAAAATTATTTTATAAAACCAGTTTTGCAACTTTACCATACCCAGAAATTGAAACCGAGCGAGACTCGTTGCCTGCCGAGCTGGTTGCCTGTCGGCCAACCAACCAATCAGAGGCCTTAGTAACCTACCAACGGGTGGAACACGGGGGTTAGGTTTGGGCGCATGTCTCACGGCGGCGAGACATACCACCGCCCAGCTGCGGCCCAGATGTGGCGCAAGGGTCCTTTATTGTCTTTGCTCGGACGCACCCTTAGCGGAGTGAAAGCGAACCCCGCCAACGACAGTGGACTACTACCCGCGAGAGCGCATAGCCGCTATTCCGCGAGGCACCAGGTTACATTAACTAATTTTAAGTTAACTCCCTGTTTGTGTAGTTTTATAGACACCTGTTCAGTTAGTTTCACTATAGTTTTCGCGCATTCGAACCTCATTTCCATCTCACACCCTGACGTAGAGGCTGCAATATATAGCCCAACGTTACACGGGTTTTTTTTACAATTTACAGTTTTATTTTCAGTGCGCCACGAATTAGTTTCAATGACTTTAAATGAAAAACAAACTCGTACTAAGACGAGAGCTCAGATGAGTCATGGTTACAAGATTATAATAAAATTTTATTTTAGTTTAAAATGATTGTCGGCCGCGACCCGGTTACTCGGGGGCAGAAAAAAGACTCCCTCCTTCCTCACCCAGGCAGTAGCAGTATACTTATTATACTCTTTGGTAGCAGTCATTCGATGATTGTCAGTGTCACCCTAAAAAAATTCTTCGACATAGTTTTAATTGAATACAAACTTTTTAGTGAATTTATTTATTTATTTATTATTGTGATGTTAACACGGCTTTACACCAATTACATTAACACACATACAAAGATAAATCAAAGAGAATCAAACAATTACAATAACAGAAAAAGAAGAAAAAAAAATTAAACACATAAATAAACATCACATTAAAAAAATACAATTAAAATTCAATTAAAAAACATAAAAAAAAATCAGACAATTACAATAGTAGATGACAAAAAAAAGAAATGTACCTATATCACAGTAAAATGAAAACAAAACATTTAATTAATTATATACACTTCAACACAGACTTCAGAGACTTTCACAAAAACTGAGACAAACCTTTTTAATAGCTTTAAGCTCGTCCATGAATAGGTCACAGTCAGGGTAGGCTTCCACGAGGCTATTGAGCGCGGACAGGATGCGAGGAATGGGGGACGATGCCCGGGCCACGGTACGACTTGCAGGCACGGATAGTAGACTGTGCCTCCGGGCGCGTATGTAGTTTTAAATAGTAGCTACCTATTTAGCATTGGCTGACTTTATTATAAAATTGGATGCCATTAGAATTTTTCTTTTTAATTTATTTTTAAACCAAAAAACTGGCTTTGTTTACTTTTTTTCATCATTTTTAGCCAGGTATAATATATAGATAAATAATAAAATGTAAAAAAGTTTCTATATACTGTTTTTAGTAAAATACACTATTTTTAGGTTGTAGACACGTTTTTTTTTTTTTTTTAATGGGGGAAAATTATCGAATGACTGCTCCCGCCTGGGTGAGGCGGGAGGGAGTGTCAGACTCTTACTGACTAAAAACCACCCCGTTCCTTCTCCTGCGCGTCGAGCCGGAGCCCCGGTTACCCGTTAGGTTCTCCGCGACTCCGAATCGGCATCGGCCCTATTGGGCCCCATCTGTGGTGGTTCTTTGAGGCGCGCGCGGAACGCGACGCGCCGTACGCTCGGGTCTGTTTCTGGTCGGACGGGGAGCCACCCATGCTCGCCGTCCGCAGGCCCGCGCTTACGGTGGCCGGAGATCGTCCCGCGATCCCCGACGCCCAGTGTGTCCTTCGCGATGGCTGGGTTGCGAGGAGGCAGCGCTTCGCTGCCTCACGCGTCTCGCCTCCTCCTTAGCTAGCATGACTGCTTCGCAGAAGGAGGAGACGGCATCCCAATCCCCCTCGCTCCGCATCATGGCCTTTTAAGGTTTAAATAATTATTATTACTATTTAACTAAAATAAAATTTCCACCTTGTCCACGAATCTCACGCCTTTACGTAGTTTTGCTAAGTTGATAAACAACTTGGATCTATTTGCTTATATCTTCAAAAGTCTTCTTACTTTATTCAAATAAAAAACTTAAATTAAAACTATTACTTAAATAAAATTAAAACTAAATATTACTAAATTAAATATATACCACTTAAGATTAAAATTAATTATAGGAAAATCAAAAACAACTAACTTATATCTTTGCCTTGTCTGAATCGGAACGTGAGCTGTCATAACAGTAAACACCGTCACATTGACATTTGCCTTTGCCAACTTTTAGGTTATAATTCTAGCAGACAGTACGTTTTCGTAGATTTTGTAAATTCGATAAAAAGTTACAATTAACATAGTTATTGCCGTTTAAATCAAGTGAATGCAACTTAAACGATTATGAAATGGAAGCTGCTACTTTACCAAAGAAGAAAACTACTATAAGTAAAGGCAAATTGAAGAAAACTATTAAGAATGTTTTATGTCGACCTGACCCACTGTTTTGGTAAGATTTTACACTAATTTCAATTAAATTTAGAAAATCATTGAATTTTAAATACGACATTGTATATTTTACAGGCCGGAAGTGACAGAAGATGAAGGTAAGAAATTAGAAAATGTGTTAAAAAAACATAAAATCATTATAGAAGTATTCAAGAAGCCACACTGGAAAGATCTGAAAGATTTACCTAAAGAACAGCGTCCTAAACCACCCAAGTTAAAGTAAGTTATAACTTTTTAAATATTTTTTTTTGTAATAGCAATAGTGTTCTATGTTAACATGAGATACAAGAAATCTTAGATCTGTGGTGCAACATACCACAGGTTATTTTTTTTAGTGTTTAATATCTAAGCATATGTGATATTTCCAGAAAGCCTGAGGGTCTTCTACTTGGAGTAAGAGAATGTACAGAATCTGTACAAAATGGAGAATGTTCGGCCATTATCATTGAAGCTAAAGTCAACCCAAGACTGATTGTACAGCCTGTTGTTGAGTTATGTACTACAAAGGGTGTACCATACATATGTCTAAATAACTTGAGGAAAGTCTCCATGGTCAATTTTGGAGTTCCAACTAGCTGTTTAGGAATAAAACGAGACTGTCTTTTGGATGTAAGAAAAGAAATAGCGGACTTAGCTAAAAGTCACCCAGCTACTAGACTACCTAAGCAAATCGAAGAAAATGATACTATAGAAGAAAACATGGAAATTAAAGCAATTACTTATAATCGTGAAGCAATTACTGATAATTATGGAGCAAATAAAGTTACAGAAGTAACGCCATTCAAGTTATTATATAGAACTAGTAAGAGTACTAGAGTATTTGTACCGACTACCATGGAGAATGTGTCAAAAACGAACAGAAAGTTCAAAGGACAAAACTTCATAGAATTCTCAGAGAAACAAACGGACAGTAAGACTTACAGGAAGATGTTACTGAAAAGGATGTCAAACAATCCAAACAGGGCTAAAAAGAAATAAACCAGTTTCTAATGAGAGAGATGCTTTATTTTCAAAATATTAATAACTACAATGTCACAATAGACATATTATGTTAAACATTCCACAGGGAATGCAAACTGTAATCAGAAATGTTCGGGATGTCTTCATAAGGTTAGCAAATAAATGTAAGCTATCCCTCAACACTTCTATTACAAACTATCAAGTTTTACCTTTCCATTTGGAAATCTGTCAATAAAATCTATTTTTGTCTGTAAAAAATTATCAATGTTGCAATGAACAACAAAAATTTACAAAAGATAATGTACCATTTCCAAAACATCAGGTAAAACTTGATATACTTAACTAATAATATCATGCCATACTTCATAAACTGTATCTATACAAAAATAACAACTATCACTCTATGAAGTATTGCATGGGAGTAGATATATGTATCTTACATTTTCAATTTATGCATTGCATTAAGTTTTAACAGTTCAATTTAATAAAAATCAAACAACAGATTGGTTCAATGTTACACCCACTATGTCGGCTACACTAGCCCACCATAGCAGGCCATTGCTTACATCTAAACATACTTAATAAATCAAGAGAGTAAATAATAACATGAACAGTTGCTGATGCTCCCTCAATAGTCAATAAATGAGCCATAACCATGGTGCATATAATATATAGGACACTCAACATAATTATGTGCATTTCATTATAAATTCATCATATATTTATATTCATATATATAATAAATTACATATTAATACATTAAAATTCGTCATAACTTTAACAAATCAATTTTGTAAAGAATATATAGTGCTCAATATCATAACATTTCATTAAGTTTTATATTAGTATAAAAATAATAATTGATACATGGTACCAATAATAATTTATATATGATCACATATTTAGCTATTTAATATCAATAATTGTCTTAATTTTTATATGTCGCATAAATGCAAAAAATATTTGTGAAATTATTCCTTTGAAGGTTTATAGGGATTAGAAAAAAGCAAAATATGCCAGAATAGTCAAGCAACAAGTGATAGAACTGTACATTTGTAAATATATAAATGTATTTGTACATCTCTAGAAACTATTTAATTTTTATTAAATATCAGCATGCGCTTCTTAGAAGCGAATGTCAAAAATCATAGAATATGTACAAGATATAAATGCCTATCTATCGTCAATGATACGTTCGTATGGCGCAGTCTACTGGTGACGTGCGACGGCCTCGGCACGATGTTGTATAAACTCCTGTCGACCGCGACCAGCCTGAGCGTGGCCAGCGATCAGCTTCAGCGCTATCGGCGATATCTACTGAGCGGCTTTTATCAAAAACCGGCAGTAAGGGGAACGGGCCGGGCTCAGTGAGGCACGCGCGCCTCGCTCGGCCGGTACCTAGCCAGGATGATGGCGCACATCGTCTGCGCGTCCGTCTCCTCAGGGTACGCCGCCATGGCCTCCGCCACCTGGGCCTCGGGGAATATCCCCGCCAGGTGGTAGTGCATGCGGCGCCGCGCGTCCCAGTGCTGCAGCGCGCCG